ATGTCGGATTTAGCATGTCAGTCTTCGCGTCGTTCAGTAGGGGGCAGCCACCAGCCCGGCATACCAAGGTGGTGGACAATAACCTGTGTCCTTTAAAGTCAGGTCTTACCTGTCTGTTTGTCCCGGTTTGTGCAAATGATGCTACATCCTCAAAGCCTACTACGCTGGGAAGGGCTGTGGCTGATGTCCATGCACATACCACTAATAATTGTGTTGTTTGTGATTGTGGTTCTGTTCGATGTAAAACTTGTAAACATATATATCAGGGCAGAACATTTGTGAGTAATGTCACCAAAAAACGGTATGATGTGGTTAGTTCTGCTTCCTCCATGAATTGTGCTATGTATTTGATATCATGCACAAGATGTGGCGTACAGTATGTTGGAGAGACTAGCCAGAAATTACGTAGCCGTTTTAATAACCATAGAAACAGACTGAAGAGCATGGCCAACCTATACTTATATAATCATTTTAGTTCGGATGGACACACTGAGGATGATATATGTATTATGCTAATTGAGAAAATTGTTGACACTGGAAATAAAGTCAGTTCAACCTCTAAGAGGCTTGAAAGAGAAGATTATTGGTGCAGGGAACTATGTACGTTCTATCTGTATGGACTGAATGATAATGTGAGGGGGGTTGGTAACACATCTAAAATGAAAGGTCAAGGTCAACTGGTGGTTAATACGCTTTTTAACAGAAACAAAAGAAAATTTAGAGCGGCCAAATATCGCAGACGTAGGAAGAAACGTGACCTGGGTGATTTGCATTGAGCATTACTTACAAAATTGTAATTTCTGTTTTAATATAAAGAAGCTTCATTCTCAGTCTACCTAGGAAATGTATGTGTATGGTGTGGAATATTTTTCATAATTGGGTGAGTAATCATGAAGTACCCAGTAGGATCAGGGTGTTGTTCAAGGACTTGATAGCCTTCCGGAAAAAAGCTTCAGGTGGTATGGTGTTCGATGCTGATGTAGATAGGAAAAGTAAAGAAAACTCTGGTTTTATGAAAGTACATTACCATAATAAAGGCATTGAAATGATTGGTTTGCCTCAAATACTGAACAGCAGGTATGTTAGAGGTGCAATACTCCAACTTTTGAAAAACAGGGAGCCTCCTATGGTTAGCTACTCATACACTAGGACCATATCGGGCGCAATATTTAATCAGAGGAGTGTGGTAGAGGAGCTTGACTTAGACGAAGGTACTGAGAATGTATGTTGTGATTGTAGTAATAGTAAGTACTGTTATGAGCCTGCAGGACATGTTGTAACTGGAGACCTAATAATAAGAGACGCAAAGCTTAGATCACTAGTTATGAAAGGACCATCATATTGAGAGCAGAATTGGACTACAAATGAGAGGTTATGTATGTAGGGAAGCTGTAGCGGAATATAAACGTAAGTGGTCGACTAGAGAAGGTGTTGATATCCGGGCATTTAATGAGTGGGAGCATAAGCTTAATGAATGTATTCAACGGAAAATTGCGTCGCTTAAAAGTAAACATATTAACAAAAGGAAAAAGCATGTCTTTAAATCAAAGAAGCACTTTCGGTCCTTAAAACTGTTACACAGCAAGTATGTGTTAGTTCCAGCTGACAAGGCCGCCAATAATGTCATAGTAGTGTGTAAGAAGTATTACTTGGAGGTGACAAGAGAGATCACGGCTACTACCACATATGAGCCTGTTACCAGGGATAAAGATGATATAATTAAGGAACACCTACGCTTTATGAGAAACAATCACATTGTAGTGAAGCCTGAGCTTGAATGCTTGCCATCGTTTTACTGGTTACCGAAATTACATAAGCAGCCTTACGGTAACAGGTTTATAGCTGCGTCTTATAGCTGTACTACAAAGACTCTTTCAAAACTGCTTACAAGTCGCCTAAATACAATCATTAACCACTTCAGGCAGTATTGCAACGGAATTTACTGTAGAACAGGTGTGAATTGCTTCTGGGTGATAGAAAACTCACAGCAGGTGCTTAGTACATTAAAAAAGATTAATTAGTTTTCTTCAGCGAAACATTGTGATAGTTATGATTTTTCTACATTATATACCAGTATTCCGCATGACTCCCTGAAACAAGCCTTGAAATATTATTTGATTCAGGAAGCTTATAGAGTTAGAGACAACATCTTTCTTGTAGTACGTAGCAATGGAAATGGGGTGTGGTCAGATGTGCCATCTGCTAGACAGAGCCTGACCGAAGATAAGCTCATTACATATGTGGAATACCTCATAGATAACGTGTATGTTAATGCAGGTAACAAGGCAGTGTGTGGGCATCCCTATGGGCACCGATTGTGCTCCATTATTGGCCAATCTGTTCCTGTTCTTTTACGAGTACAGGTACATGAAAAACTTGATAAAGAACGATATATTCATGGCTAGGAGGTTTAACTGAGGTACATAGATGACTTCTTATACTAAATAACATCCAATATAATGACGCCATACAGGACATATATCCTTCTGAGCTTCAGCTCAAGAAAACTACGGAGAGCCCAACTACACTTTCGTACTTGGATATACTTATTACTATAGAACATGGGAAATATTCTACTACGTTGTATGATAAGAGGGATAGTTTTCACTTTGACATCGTAAATTTTCCAAATATGAGTTCTAACATCCCATCTAAGCCAGCTTATGGTGTATATGTTTCCCAACTTGTACGTATAGGTAGAATATGCAGTGGTTACGAGCAATTTTGTGAGCGACATTACAAACTCACCCAAAAATTGAAGGATTTAGATATGTGGAGCTATGTAAAGCGTTTAGAAGGTTTGCAAAAAGTCACTTGCATTGCAAATACAACCGCAGTGTACGTAGACATATTGAGGAAGGTGTATGTTTCAACACCTAGAAAATCCTGTGGGATTGGTAGCTAGATGTTTTGTACACAAACAGTTGTCAGACATAAGCTTCACATTGACTACTGAATAATTTACTATGTATATATACTACGTGGCCGGGGGTGGCACTAATAGGAACCACGATAGCTCACTAGTCGTTTTATTCAAGAATATTTATATGAATCATACTCTACTTGGTTGTCGTGACTGTGCTATTGTACAGTTACTCCCTGTGTGGCTGTCATTGTTTGTAATGTGGAGTTTGGATACTGGGTGTGTGGGGAGAGTTGGCTAGCCATAAAAGACTCTTTAACCCACCGCCCCAGTTCTCAAAGCTGGGCACCCAGTGTCCTGCTCTCATGTCATGTCATGTGTATTTGTGTATGTGTTTTTTAATGGATATTTTGGGATTTGTAGATATATATTGGTGCTGGTTTTATTTCTCTATCTATCTATATATACCTATGGCTGGTATGCTATGAACTATAATTTCATGCACAGTTTCCACATGACGATTAAAAATGGCAGAACACAATGAGCCCGGGTGTAGTGGCAGTCAGTCTGTGTACGACACTCTTCCAAGATTAACCACTGTCTCTAGCGATGGGGAAGATTGAGGGGAAGATTCCTCAGAGAGCTCTAGCAGACCAGCGCGAGCCTGAGAGCCAAATATTTCGGCTGAAGGCAGCTTCTGTTTCGTGTCGTAAGAGATGTGTCGCATGTGTTACAGGTCCATCATCTGTGACACCACAAGGAGCTCTCTCTCTCAAAAAGAGTAGTACCATGTAACAAGCTCCAAGCATACAGTCGAGAAGGAGAAGTTACTCAGTAAAGAAGGAGAAGAGGGATGTGGATATAGTTGAAGCCTAGTAAAAGTATGACACCGACACGTGAAACTCTACCAGAGGTTGTAAGGGTGTATTGTGTAGTACTTTATTAAAGGCCGGTGTGCCAAAGATTGATGACTTTAGAGATCTCTTGAAAGAGTAGGCATTTCACCTTGCATGAAGAAAGCCCCTTTCATTTTGGGTGAAGAAAAAGGCAAAAAAGGCAGAAATCGATGGATTAATTCCAGCCGTTCGAAGGAACATCACAACTTGGTGAAGCTCGTGCTATTATTCTTCGGTCTATGGATCACTCTAGCCTTAAGATTCATCAGCGTCTAGTATGCATGCAACTATTGGTGAAGTCACTAGCAGGTGAAGAAGTCACACGACAACTTATTTCACAGAGTATTGAGTTGTGCCAAGTAACCTTTTAGCTTCAACGTGTGATCGGCCTCTGTCAATTCAGTTGACACCTAGATATCGGTTGTTACTCCAACACTATCGATTATGTGGGTGATAATTTCAATACACCAGTATTGTAAAACTTCAGCATGACCTGGGTGAGCCTCTTCTCTCACATCCCCAAGGCCCGTTGGCCAAGAAAAAACTGGTCTTACAGCCAACACTGTGGTGGGAGGATTGTCTGCAAGTGGGTGTCCTTCCCTCTTGGGAGGAGAATCCTAACCTTGCTTCTGCAGCAACTCGCAGTTTCATTTATCTTAGAAGCTTCAGCTAGAGATAGCAGCTACAGTAGATGCCAGGGAGCCGTTCATGAAAGTCACCTATAAACACGAAGGTGACAGTGTACTTGTGTTTAGTTGCTTTGCTTGCATCACTAGCACTTGGAAAAAGGACAGCTCATACTTCGGTTTCTACTAGAATTTCAGCAGGTACCCTGCCAGATCTTAACAGTTTTAACAGTATGGACACCTTTTTAACCAACTGTCGACCACTTTCTTACCAAGAGCTCAGTGACAGTGTAGCTGCCTAAAGCAGCTTGCCTGATCGTTCCAGAAGTTAACAGAGATGCAAACCACTGCCAAATTCATTGATGATCTGGCAGTTTCCCCATTTTTGAATGACCCAGCACTTCTATCACAGCTCAAATCAGGTTAGTTGATGAAAGCATAGCTCCTCATACAGCCGTCATCTGCAGCTGTGCAGAGAGTCTTCCCAGAATGCAGCGCACTGCTGTAACGGTTATGTCACATGCCAAGTCTGATTTGAATACTACAAGTATAATTATAAAAACTCTGGGTGCACAAGCATTTAATTTGTGTGTATGCCAAGTAACAGTCTACAAACAAAATAAGAATTTTTTTTTGCAAGTGAGAGTGTATATTACAAAATATGCCAGCACTAAAGGCCTTTACTTTCGAAAGTGCCGGAAATATTCCGAAAATTATGAAGTGGCCCTTGCAATATTTCTCAAATCTTCCTGCATAATTATGTAGGAAAATCAGAGGGTGGTGCAGGTAAGTTTCGTGAAAATTTTCCAATTCTTCCTACACGTGTATGCGTATTGCACATAAAAGTGATCCTTTTTGACACTATTTCCTGAATATGTATAGCAAACATAGTTCTTCTATGCCGGGGCGTTGGTAAAGTTGGCATATCAACAAAATGTAATGGTCACAAACTGCCTGCACAGCAATTTGAAAAGATAAAGGCACTGTGCCAGAAACCTGTGGGCTGACATGCAATGTTTGTACCTCCAACTTTGAGAATGTACTTTCTTGAAGCTGTTACATGAAGTAGTAGATTCTGAGGTTTAAGGTCCATGTGCGCAATTCCTTTTGATCTCAAGAACTGTAGTGCACAAGCTGAAAAAGAGGGGGGAAAACGTCACATTCTTGTAATGGGGTGCAGCTCAAAACTTGGGGGCAATTCTCTGCATGGTTTTTTTGGGTCTAACTAGCGCATTTATGGCAAGCGGGAGCAAAGCTTACATAACTGGCCTAGGTTTTTTAGTAGCTAGAAAGTAGATAACAAAGGTGGCCTTCCCCTTGGAATTCTGTAAGAAATTACAATGTTATGCTTACACACACATTTTTTTCTTTCTGGTTGTATAATCTCTATTATAGCCATTACTACAAGGGCCCGATTATCGCCATTTGCGGTGCAGCGGACAAATTACTGGCTCTACCACCTTCGGCGCATGCGCAACGAATAGAGCAAAACACGTGCTCTCTTTCGATGCCTGTGCCAGCTTCAGGAGGCGTTCGACGGCCAAGTGACGGTGGTTTGACTGAAAAGTACCTCAGATTGGCCAGTTCTTCCTGTGGGCGACAGAACACAGTACCTTCTAGGAGGATTTTCTTTGTACAAAAAAGCATTCTATAGATTTCTGCAGGCTGTTCATGAAGTAGCTAAAGACGGTAGCTAGTTCATGTTTCACTTCTTAATACCGGCAGAATGTCAAAGGATGTGGACCAGAAGGACATGGAGGCAGCAATGAAAGCTGTATAGGACTGTGAGCGGTACTGCTAAGCAATTTATGGTACCCAAAAAGACACTTGATGACAGGAATAAGGGTGGAGTACAGCATGGTTGTCGTCCTGGTCCGTCAACTGCCCTCATGGTCGAAGAGGAGAGTGCCTTGGCAGCTTACTTGTTGTGCATGGGCCGAGCATGGGTTTTCTTCTGACATCAAACATGGATACTGATTTTGCATGGGTTCTAGCACACAAGAACAATTCAATCCTGAGACAGGACCAGGAAGGCACTTGTGGCGAAGTTTCTGTTCACGTCATCCCTAGGCACGGCCAATAATCTGGAGTGTAGTCGAGCTAATGGATTGACGAGGGAGGTTGATGATAACTAGTTTGACTGCCTCAAGGTCGCACTATATAGAGCAGAACACCCTCATCAACTCACCATGGCAACTCTTTAACTGCGATGAGACCTTCTTGCCCCTCAACATCTCTTGTGGGAAGGTGGTCACTCGCAAGAACACAAAGCATGTGTATGCACAGTCTATGGGTAAATCTGAGCACATCACGCTACTTTTGTGTGCCTCTGTAGCTGAGAGTAGCGCTGCCACCTATGTATGCAAAATTTCCAGGGGTTTGAGAAGTTTGCTGGTCCTGACGGTGAGAGGAAATCTGCTTGGATAGATTACGAGTGTGGATGAAGAAGGTGTTTCTCAAGTACTGTGGCTCACAACGTCCTATGATCTTGCTCGTTATGAGAACACCAGCCACATTAAACCTCAATGTGATAGATCTGGTGCGTGAAAATGTCATTCTCTCTTGTCTACCCTCCCTCCCTCGCCCATACTGCCCATGCTCTTCAACCCTTGGATGTGTCGGTCTTTAAATGTCTGAAGTCACACTTTAGCAAAGCAGTTCAAGCACCGTCTTTTGAGAAGAAAGACTTTGTTGTTTCAAAGTGTGAGTTTGCATGTGTATTAAAGACACCGTTAGAGCGAGCCTTTTGTATCTCAAACATCAAGGCTGGGTTCCGCAAGTGTGGGATTCATCCGTTTGACCCCAACACCATCTACCAATGCAAAATTATGCAACCTCTTCAGGGTTTTAGTTCGTCAACTGCTTCGAGTTCAGCTACCCTTGATATCATCTGCTGAACCAAGCTCGGATTACTCCCAGATATCCAGTGTCAATAAATCTCCAACTGCATCGTCATTGCCCTCTCATGTTGATGATAGCTACAGCTCTCCACCAGTGCCATCAAGATCGTTCCATCACACCACCACTCCTGTCGTTCCAACTGCGGCTGTTAGTCAACCAGTCACTCCAGTTTCATCTTGCAGTCAGCAGACTTCTGCCCCTCTATCTCGGCCGCATGTTTTGAACCCCCTAGTGAGAGCTGGGCTTGTACCAGCAGACATCCCCTCTCCTCAGGCATATAATGTCGCAGAGAAGTGATCTTGCCACATGACCGGAGTTAGGGTTCTAACCTAAAATGAGTACACAGATATGATGAGGGAGACAGAAGAGAGAAAGAAGCAGCTGAGATGAAGCAGAAAAGAAAGGAGGAGAGAGAACAGAAGAAGCTTGAGAAGGAACAGAAAAAAGAGAGGAAGAGAAAAGAGCATGAAAAGAAGGGCGGCAGCAGCCAAAGGAAAGGGAAAGGAAGAAACGTAGTCATAGCTCAAGTGAAGATGCACCTCCTGCTAACGGAAGTGAGGACGAGGGTCACCACCAGAGTCATACACGCACAATCAGGACTCCTGATTGGTATATACCAAAACAAGAGTGATGCCGGTAGTGAGGCAAGAAACACAGTATGCTATGCAAGGCAGCCCCCCCATTTCAGCAAGTATGGTGTTTTGGGTCGACTGCGACCGTTGCGGAGAGTGGGCACACACACATTGTGCTCTGGGTAACAACACAGCTTCACGTCAGTTTATTCGTGCATTATGTTGTGCTTGAATTGTATGGTGTATGCTGTTTGTGTGCTGCTAAGGCAATTCCGTAGCCATTTCCACTTATCTGTGTACATTCTGTTGTCACATTCCAAACATTCCTCCAGTTTCATGATGTTGGCGATAACATGCCAGGCGCCGATTATCGCTATGCCGAGCTTGTGCTTATAAAGTGTACATCGCTCTCTTACTGTTCGCTAGATATGACATGTGCTTCGCAACACTGAAGGTGTGGCTAATGATCCAGCAGAAAATTGGCTAACATTAGCGTAGACCCTCTCCGCTAGGTCGCATATGGTCCGCAGGGTGGTGATAATAGGAGACAATACATTAGGTCACAGGCAGAAGAACAAAACCAGTTTCTATATACACATATGTAATGGCAACTACAAATGAACTTGTCTCCTATTCCTCTTCTGGTTAATAATTGCAGCTTCACGCACACAGCTGTTATCTCATATTAACCAGAAGATGAAAGATAAATCCAATTCAAGGATGATCAAGAACCATAACACAATATGAAATGCATTTGAAAGAGCATAACCCTCGCTGCTAAAATTTTAGATAAAGAAAACGTATGTGGAAATTGGTATGCAGATGGATGATGAACATGGTGAAACCATGTAAATGTAAGCCATTAATTGTCGCAAGTGCGTGTCACTTACATACACTTCACCCGCTGCTCGTCAGATCGTGGTATATGAACCGGCCGGACCCCGAACTTTGTCGGATCGCGATCTTCAATTAATGCACACTCCTTACTACCGCAACAGCGTTGCTGTCCTGCCATCGTATGCAGTCTTCTCTGCTCCAGAATCTTGCTGTACCGAGCATAGCTACTACCTAGTACACACCACAATATCCACGTTTCGCCCTCAGACCTACAGCGGTTACCAAGAAAAACAGGGACACATACACTCACACACACAGACCGATTACAGTAACCCTCATTGCACATACGTGCAGGCAAGGGGAAAATATATTATATGAAAAAGTACCTAACTGTTGCAAGAAATATTTGGCTTCAACCTCGGCGAGTGTGTTTCTACTCCTTATGAAGTTTGATAGGTCACCTCCACTGCAGTACTCCATAATCAAGAAGATGTAGTTGGTGTCCCACTGCATCGTGTAATAATAATAACTAGAGCAATGCAACATATTTTCAGCGGAGGAAGCGAGCAGTTTGATTTTTTGCGCGTTTTGTATAACATTACGGTATCCAACAGTGCCCATACATACACAATTACATAAATATTCCGCATTCAGACGCCTGCCTATCATGAACACAGTTACAATGCCGTCAGTTATGACCCTTGTCTGTGTTGTCATAGCGTCCTTGAGGACACAACCCCAGCATTAGGTGTTTAGTCATACATTACTAAACCACCAAGGCAACAAGAGATGCCGTCACTGCAACACAGTGCCTTGCCACATTACCAGCACTAGGGCTAGCTACACCAACTTGCTGCATTTGGCAAGCCAGGCATGACCATTATCTCACAACAGTAAGTGGTTAAGCTGGCAACAAAAACACCTCTGGACAGCGTCCAACCATGAAGAAACTGCCAGCAAACAAACTCTACCAGTGTTAAGCTTTAGTCATTCCAGTCACAGTATTTGCTGGAAGCTGAGAGTAAACTAACCCCATAAATATTACAGGGTCGTGGTTCATTCGGGAAGCCAGAAATCAAAAGGCGTCTTCTACTCAGGCCCTCAAAAAAGTTCTCCCTTTCTCAACACTCCTGACGAGGACAGCCGTCACGGAAATGATTTATACTTCACGTGTGACCTCTGTGGCCCATTTCAACAGTCGTACCTCTAAAGCTCCTGTCACCTCTCTACTGCTGGATCTTAACTTCTGTGTACCCAGTCCAACTAGCCCAAGTTCTCTTTTAGGCCCCCATTCTTCCCAGCAAGCACATTCCGACAAAACTGAACTTGAGTCTGCTCACCCCTGCCTAATGCTGTTCAGAGCTTATTGGTTTCAACCGGAACTCAGCAATTAGAGATAATTGCATTCCTCAGTACGCCTTTCTGACATACCTCTCTCCATGAAGATATGAGCAGTCATCTCCCATGTTACCAACCTACTAATTGACACCTGTAACTCCACTATCCCCCACTAGTTATAAATCTTACACCAGCCATGTGTATGATTATCCACCTCTCTTATGCTGGCATAGTCAGTTGAAGCTTTTTGTCAGTGAAAGGCCACTGGTTGAAAGATCTGGCTCTCTCCATAAGATAAGGGAAAAAGTAAGACGAAATTATGAGATCATCTGTCTGAATGTGGTGCTCAGATTCAGCTTATAAACATCCAGTTGTGTGATCAGTCCTTCTATCTCAACCACCCTAGACACTTGCAGAAAAAAGCAGGAGAGGTGGATCTAACTTACTGGTAAATGGTGCTCTCGATCACTTCAGACCCTTCCCTGGTCATCCCACATTAATAGATTACTTCTCGAACTTCAGCAAACCTAGGTATTCCTTCTCTTGATGGGTTTCTGCAGTCTATTGCCGAGAACATGCTAGAGTCCCACACAGAAGATGAGCTTTTCTTGATGTACAATTCATGCCTGATGAAGTCAGCATTGCAATCAGCCTCTTCAAACACAGTAGCCAACGTTCAATTTTTACTGTGAAGAATTAAACTGTAACCATCACGCAGTACTAGAGTGCACTGCCATCTCACAACTCCAGAAAAGAAAGAGAGGCTCTCCAGACTGCATGATTCTGCTCGGGTAGCTAGGAAACGTGTAAAGAGACTGGAAGACAAGCTGAAGAAAGCAATTGATGACTGTGGTAAACAAGTTGATGGTTAAAAGCATGAAAATCTCTGCTCAATTATGTTGCAAACCTTGTTTTACAGTGACTAAAAAAGGAAGATGTTGTGAGTGCTGAGACTTCTAAATTAACAGGTAAGTATCTGACTTGACTGACTTGTACATACTGAGAGAGAGTTTACTGTGACCACCATAGCACAGTGGTTTGAGGTTTGCCTTGTGTGGTGTTGTAGTACATTCGAACCCCTACCAGCTGGTAGCTCAGTTGGTTCAGCGCTCGCCTAGACTGCAGAGTGTCGTGAGTTCGAATCCCACCCAGGGCAACTCTTCTTCTTTTCTGTATGGAAGTGGACAACCTTACGGTCACCGATGTTGCATATCCCCTTGTCACAAAGAGGCTGACGGGTGTGTTTCATCAGCAGCTTGTCCACGTCCGCAATGGATGTATTTCTGATGATCCAGAACGCCCGCCATATGTTAAGGTGGGCACAGTCAACTACCACTCAACCAGCCATCATTTGGAGCACTACCAGTCACTGCGTGGCACAAGCAAGGTGGAAGCTGTCCATTCGGTACTCGACCGAACCTTCTACTCTCAGCGCGGTATTGGCACAAATGTGTTGCATGAACAAAATGCACGGTTGGGATGGTGGATTCTGGGATATAATCGCTGCCGTCTGCGTGCTCTTGGCAAGAAGGTTCCGCCAGACAGCATGTCACCAAAGGTACATACTTGTTACACTAGATATACATTTCGCTTAAAATGCAGTAAAATCAGTAGCATGTTTCTTTAATTGTTTTGTTCTTCGTCACATTCTTTTGAATTACACCTGAACAGTACGGCCTTGCATTCTGCTTTAGGTGTGCGAGCACTACATTGCACGTGGGCTGTGCAATGACTTCTCTGACTAGTCAATAGCTGCAGCAGGCTCCGAGGCCAGTGTCAAAATTGGCTATGACTACGGACGCTTCGTGACTGGCAAGGAACAGCAGATTGAGCCTGATTTTAATGAGGAAGCAATGCGTACTGATAGCGATGTACCCGACCCTCAGGAGGAAAGGTCAATGGTGGCGACATCAGCTGAGGTATATACTTGTTTTTTGGTCTCAGATTGTTCGTTTATTTATTGATTTTTTCTTTGTTTTGCTGTTTTACAAAGTGCAATTTGTCATATTGTGTGGCTTCAGGCACTAGAGGAGCTTGGGCTTGATGCAGTCGACCTGGTTGATGAAGCACCATCCTTTTTTGAGTCAACATCTCAAGAATACAGTGAGTAGAATTCTGTTACATTGCACTGTCTGATTAAATAGGACAAGACACACAATCATGAGAACCAATGAGTCAGATTCTTGTCATGAATGCTACATGTATATCTCTTGGAAATAAGGGAATATTGTTTTTCGTCCTCTCCAGAGTCGGCAAATGCCAGCACTGCCTCCAACAGGGCTGAGGAGATGGCCATAGATGGTGAGCTCCTTTCAGACAACCACAACTAATAATTATTAAAATTCAGTGATGCTTGCCATGCCAATTGCTCTCTTGGTAGTGATTTATGTTCTTTTCTTTTTTCCAAAGATTCACCGACTGCTGATGCTGCCTACATGGATAAGTCTGCTCCAGCTTGGAGAAGCATTCTCTCCCTGACGCTACACCTGGACGTCGGCGCAATGTGGCACGCCTGCGTGCTATGGGAGGAGACCCCACATGTGTTCCTCCTGATTTTAACAGCAGCATGTTAGCTATCTGGGAGGAGTTGTGGCACTCAATGCCCCAGAGTGGAAGGGTTAGCATCACTGTGAACAGCCTGCGGCAGCGCTACAAGGAGCGTTGTAGAGCCGAGAGGAAGCGGCCGCGACACTCAGCTGATGGCCCTCCAGCACTGCTGCCAGTTTCATTTGCACAGGCCAAGGACTGACTGCTCAGGCAGCAAAAAGCCCAATCTGAAGCCCTCCAGACCGGTGCGGTGAATGAGGACGCATGGGAAGTTGTTGCTGACCTCAACCGCTCTCTGGCTGAGCAGCCAGCATCAATGGCTGCACTTCTGGAGCAGCCAGCTCGCCCGGCCTCTCCAGTGGTTCCCCCACCGGTGATGTCACTTGGTCCTGAGCCAGTGACTGATCATGTGAGGGCAGAGGAACGCGCGGAAGAGCGAGCTCGTAGGCAGGCAGAAGAGCCGAGTGTGGTATCTGGCAAGAAGACAGTGGCACCAAAAAAGAGGAAGGCCATCCCTCCAGAGCTGGAGGAGCAGCAAAAGAGAGCATCAGCTCGCATGCTAGAGTTGGGTGTCCCTACACTCCAGGCAAGGATTCATTTCCTGCTTCTTGTGGTAGTATGTCTTATAAAGACTTATCATCTATGTAATTACCTACATTTCCATGTACTGCTTGATTTTTCTTGTCTACATATGAGACTTTCCCCTGCAGTCTTTCATTCACATACTTTTTTGTTTCCAGGAAAAGGTTCTTGATGGGAAGCGTCGCTGCCCTGCTTGTAACCAGCTACGCACAGTATAAGGCACATGCCTGAGACTCACAATATACCAAAGTCAACCATACTGCAAGATTATTGTTTCATTCTTCAATTTGCAGTGAAATCATTAACCAAGCTTGTAAAGTTTCTCCTTTCAAACCCCAATGCTCCACCCTTGCTGAGTCGGAGAATATCACAAGACCCATTTGAAAGGTTTTTCAGAATCCTGAAGCAAAGAGGGTGAAACCAACGAAAATCCCAAGAGGTTTTTGAAGAAGTCACAGTCTCATCGGGTGGTCAAGTGTGGTCAGCAAGTGCCAAAGGAAATTGCAGGTGGAACAAGGAGGATGATTTATCTGAAGCCGCACTAAAAAGATGAAAATCACAAAGAAGAAAGCATCATAAAATGTTACAAGGCAACATTCTTCATTATAATCTTATGCATCACTAAAGAAGTGTATATCTATGAAATATCCTTTCTGGGAGCCTTTGAATGCTGTATACCTTTTGTTTCTCACTCTGGTTCAAGTTCTAGCCATGAGAATGCAAAAGAAAAACCTCGAATAGTTACCCATTGGTCCACCAGCATATTTACACCGACTGAAAACGCAACTGAAGAATTTCCTCTAGGGAAACACTACTCCCATACACAGGTTCAGCCAAATGCTTTGGGTGTCAAAATATGCCTGCTGGGTCTAATCTAGGTTTTAGCAACGAGATTTCTTTTGCTACACAACTCACTTCAAACTCAGAAAGCTGCACGATGTGCTCATGCTGTAGCTGTTTCATTACTTTAATCTCAGTCAAAAGATTTTCCATCGAACTGACAGTCAGGCGGCTTCGCTTGATGCATTTTACAGCAACCACTCCCTTCTGCTTTCCCTGCAGTCGTTTGCATGCATAAACACACCGACACAAACGGTAACTCCATACACCTTATGTACGGCCTTGTACACAGTGGCATAGGTACCAGTTCCCAGAGACTCTGTTAGGACGTAGTCCTTCATCTGGGGTAGGCCAACGGTGCAGCTGCTGGCGCTCATGACTGCGCGTTACATACATGGAGGTCAGAGTTCAGTTTATGTTTGCTGTAAAGACTGACATATTGCCGGCATTTTAATATTAGCGTTTTGTAAGTTATGGTTAACTTTGCTTATAGTTTGGGGGACCATTAATTGTAGTCTAAACGCCAAATTTAAATGGAGTGCCAATATTTTCCGGTTTTACAGTACCCTGTAGCGGGGCCAGACCCTTCGCGCATGACTGAGGGTCTCTGTACTAGACTTGTTCCAAGGTCCTTTATGTCTTTCCTCCCCCGTAAAAACAGACTGGGTGCTAGGCTAGAGAGTCTGGCCTGCAAGACAACTTATAATCTGACAAAGAATCTCTGGGCACACTGACGTAGCTACATATTGTAGCCACCAGTTTGCAGGTGGATGTTGATATCCTTCGCTTTGTCATTTTGCTACAGGTACAGATGAGGGTACTGAAGCAGTAATCAGTTTGGTCTTTGTGTCCGTTTCCTGCTGTCATGAGGAGGGAGGTGAAATTGTTAGTTGAATGTCAAACCTTCAATCTCAAAAGTACGTACAGTGGTCAAGAGGTCAATCCCTGTCTGTAATGGGTATTTTTCACATAGCGTGGCTAGAAGTGGTAGAATGTTGGGACTCGTGCCGACCCCACCAGGCACCCTAAACTGAAGTGGGTGGGTCCAGAGCATTGGCTGAAGGTAGCTCTAGTTTCTCACACGTTGAAGAATTCACAGCAACTTCACTTTTCTATGGTTGTCTTTAAAAGTGGTGTTTGGTGTGTTAACGATCAGAAATGGTGCTGCAAAACAGGCATGAAGATTAAAAACACTGCCAAAGGTGAGTTTGACTAAATATTTGTAAGTGTGACACTAACATTGGAACCTTGAGTACTGCAAAATGGAACTGACATACACAAACAACAAACAGGAAAAAGGTATACTTCTGGCACTCTTCCCATATACCATGGTGAGAAAGATTCGCATTATCATGCCCAATACATAGCCAGTAACCTAGACATTACACATACCTACACACATACAATCCGCAATGCACAATATATAAGTATTAGGTTTTGAGGCCCACATCAGGCATCTGGATATCAGTCCGCTGTATCTTGTTGCTGCTCTTGCATTTTTAAGGCTTCCTGGGCTTGCTTTTGCATATTTTCCAGTTTCTCTAATGTCACTGATTTCAATGGCAAGATTTTAGGTTTGCAAAGAACCATTTCAAAAGATTCATCTGAGTAGAGTAGTCCGTATTTCGGGAGGATTTCCATGAAGGAGGTCCCTTTACCGGCCCTGCTCGCAGGATTTGTCGTAGGATCTTCCATGAATACTCCACAAGTTACCTTTGCTTGTGTAAACCGAGTCGAGTCAGGGCGGCAGAGTCAGATTCCCGCCCCCATACAGAGGCCGAGCAAGGGGCCGGGGGCGGGGGCGGGGCTGATTCGCGCGCTAGGCGTCTCGTGCCCAGCCCGCCCCGCCCATAAGCGGAAGAGGCGGTGGTCTGAGATCGCTCGATTTGGAGAGGGTCCTATCAGATTGCAGGATTTCGCTTGTCGCGCAAGTATCAAGGGGCGGGGTCTGGGAACCGCGCGCATGCCGCCGCTATAATCCCGGTTTAGAAGGGGTGCGCCGCCGCGGGCTTGAATCCTTGCATCCGTGTTATATACATTCCCGGAGCAAGCAATGTTTCCTGGATATAAGTGGCTTTCATCAGAGCAGAAATTCTTGTACTCACTAGGATCTGATAATAAGAAGATAAATGATGCAGTGGCACATTTCATACCGCTTTCACATTCAGTAGATAGTTTGACTAATGGCCTGGCAAAAAATTTATTATTATTATTATTATTATTATTGTTATCCTGGCTCCATGTGCGTCTGCTCTTAGACGGATGTTGGATATTTGCAGTTTATATGCTCGTGATATGTAATATATTGCCTGTAATAAGCCAACTTAGTAGTAATAACCGAAAGCTACTTTTTAGCTAGCTCTACCTTTCGAATTGGCATTTGATACCATTTCAATCTCTACTCTTATCATTAACCCTTCAATCTGCTCTCTTATATCTTGTTGTTCAATGCTAGTAAAACTCAACTTACTTGTTTTCGTTCTTGCAAAAACTGTCGCTTTCTACCATTCACATTCAATAATACTGCTCTTCCATATAAGAATGAAGTCATACATCTTGGACATGTGCTATCCTTTGACCTAAACGATGAACCTGATGTAACCCGTGCACTCAAAGACCTGAACCAAAAAGCTAATTATTCTCTCTCTGTATATACTTTCTTTTTTTGTTGTTCTTGTTAAGTTATATTGTCTCGCCCTTTATAGTTGTTGCCTTTAGCATTTAGGGTGACAGAGTTTATAATTCTCTTCAAACAGCTCTAAACAAGATCATGCGAAAAGTTTGGCACTTGCCCTCCTGTTCTCATGTTCCTATAGTTCACTGTGTTGCTAAAACTACCAGCATTTATTTATGGCTGATTATTAACTATTTTGTAACTCTGGCCTTATGTTAAACTCTTCATTTGTCTCACGAATATTTCATGACTCCTGTTTTTAGCCTATAGACCTTTGTTGGACATATAATAATTTCATGTTTGGTAATTTCTCATAGCCATGTTACAAATGTTGCCCAAATATTTCCTTCTATCCGTTATATTTTAGAACCTGTAAGGAAAGTATGCACCGGGAAAAGGCAAATATAACACGGATGCGAAAACGTGATCCGTAGCTAGGCGCTCTTATAATGCCGGAAACTAGGGTAAAAATCCCCGGATATGAGCGGCTTCGAATTTTGTGACAAACTGAGTCAGCACTTTGTCTTGTCCTTCGTTGTATTATATGCGCCGAGACATACTACCTCAACACTAGCCAGAGCCCTTTCTTTACACGAACGCCGCTTTGACTGTCAATAATGAAAAGCACTGAAGTGCAAACCCTCGTAGGACGCGTGAGTAAACGCATTGCTAACCTACTGATGTAGCCAGCCCATGATGACATGTGGCAGCTTTAAGTATGTAAGTGTACTTAAGCATGTGTATAGAAATTAATCAGCCCACTGCGTCGAGGGTTAGCACTTCAGTGCCTTTCATTTTACAGTAGCAAGCATGGCAGAATTCTGGCGGGTGAATCGCAGGATCATCTCTCTCAGCCAAGACACCGTAGACAGCCAGAAGATCTGATGTGTGTGCTCTAACACTGTACTTGCTCTCCCTACTACTGCAGTGCTTCCCACACACACGACAGTGTTTGGGAAGTTGAGTGTAGTGGAACTCGTGCCCTTCAGAATCCTTCATGTTCCTGTAATTTATGTATATTTTTTGGATTGATGTTTCTTTCTCCAAAAAATGCGAAGCTGGTTCTAGTCAGCACTAACTTACGTGTGGATTCCTCAGCTGTGGTTTACTACACTGGGTTTCCCAGGGAAAATTCCCTATCACGGGCAGAGTGAGTAAAAACAAAGGACCTTCCCTTCAGCTGTTCTGCAGTACCGCGAGGTTTGTGCGTGCGCACCTGCGGTAACAGTGTCGGGGCGCTGCGCCGTTCTGTGTTATGGTTTCTAGAGAGACCACTCTGGCTATCTGAGAATGTGTGGAATGTAACAAAGGAAGCTTTGCGGCCCAACGAAGGCCCCAAGCTTCCTTCCCGAAACCGCGACTAACTTCCGATCTTGCGCGAGCCCCGTAACTAAGGTAACGGTAATACCGTAATGTTCTAAATTAGCGCTAAATGTCTAAATACGATGCACACACACACATATGGAACACCCTCATAGTATGTCTCACGCACGCGCACACACACACACACTCTCTCTCTCTCTCTCTCCCTATATTTTGAACTCTTGGTTGGTTCATATGTGTTGCTAGGCTTTGGGAGCTTTTATGCAGTGTGCATCTCACTCTAAGCCCCCCTTGCCCCTTTTAGGAGGGGGGCCTGCCTGAGAATGCAGCGACATATTGTCACGCTGTCTCTCAGAGTTATGGCTCTGTGAGGTGAGTCTGTCATTGTGCAGGGTACTGTTGAGACGACTGCCGAGCCAATCCACCTCTCTCCTAATACCACACGTGAGTGCTCTACATGATAACTCCATTCATGTCCAGATAGTGTTTGGTCTTGGCTATAGAGAAAATCTGTGTCCCTCTGACCCACACTTTTATAGGGAGCTCAATATCTCTGTACTGAATCCTCCCTCCTTTCAACTTCTATGTAAAAGTTTTGATTTTTTTTAGGCTGTCAAATAATGCTATGTCAAAAACCAGGGTATCTGTCTTATTTTGTCCTTCTCCTCGCTCTCCCTCCCAATTGCCCCAACCCATCCATAAAGTGCCTCAATCCATTCCTCTCTCCTCCCCCCTCCCCCCCCCCAAGTGCTCCGCTACGGGTCTCATGTGTCTCTCAAGTCGACGGACGCCCTGTGCTGGCTCCACTCCCACCCACATCTCTACCCTCTCAAATACCCCGACGACAGGGGCTCCTCCTATCAACAACAGGTCACGTGCTACGAGTTTGCCGACATCAACAACCTGTGGGAGGTACGAAGACCGCTCGGTCCTGGGGGCGTGGCGGGTGCTGGGTCCGATTCCCACGATCCGGTACGGAACAAAGATCTGGTGGAGTTGGTTCACATCAACACCTCAAAAATTCTGAACAGGTATATACCAGTCTACAGGGTTGATGGTGTTTTTAAAGAATTCTGATGCATTAAAAACATGCCCTCTTAATGTTTCTGTAAAGGATTATTGTGCCCAATGGTAGTATAAAAGTATATTATATCTCCAAATATGGGACACCTCCAAGTAAAAGATTTCTTGCGAAATTAGTGCTATGTATCCCGAACTAATTGATATACGCGAAGACTTAATTCGGGTGTTTCGCCGTTTATTTTGTCAGTCACGATGTAGCCGCTCCACTGACACCCACACACCAGGAAGTGGCTGGCTACGTTAACTACTCCGCCCAGTTCGTCCCTCACCTTGAATGGAGACTGGTATATATTATATACTACCGTATCAGCAACGACTTGGTAGTTTTGAGACACACGTTTGTGTTTCAGGAAGTGCCGGGCGTGCCAGATGGGAGTCCCGTGTTCCACGAGAAGGGAAAACTGAAGCTGAAACTCATCCACGAGCACTCAAAACAGACACTAGCAGTAAGCACACCATCGCCGTGTATGTATCGAAAACACTGCGCTGTTTTAATGTTAATGAATGCAGTTTTGTGCACCTTTACAGTGTACTGTATGTAAAGGTCGTTTTGTTTGTCTAGTTAAATTTTCTTTTTTTATTCGACAAATGTTCATACTCGCCAGTAGTACGTCACTGATTATTATGCCATTATGTTTATTCACGAGATAGATTAGTGTATTGTGGTAATTGTGTGTGTGTTGCAGTGTACAGGTAAGAGGCTGCCAGAGTGGGCCTTCCAGCAGTACGAGGTCGTGACTGAAAGAGACGTGAGCTCCACCACAGCAGTCTGGTCACTGGACGATGTCGTCCTTCCGCCTCCCTCCAACGCCACTGCCTGGGCCGAAGAGGAGAGATGTGAGCTCGTGGCTACAGTCCGGTATATACATAGACCACTCTTTACTTCTCTCTTTCCTTTTTCTTTCCTCTCTCCCTCTCTCCACTCACTCACTCACACACTCACACAGTAATCCGTGAAAAGGCTCAGAACCCAGGCACAGGGGCGGCCAAATCTGAAGACGAAGATGATGATTCTCAAGAAACCCTCAACTTTTGGGAGAAATACGTCGAGCTTCAAGTAAGCTTATACACTCATCATCATCATCTCTCTCTCTCTCTCTCTCTGTCGCAGGTCCACATGGCTACTGCCCACGGAAACCTCGGAGAACACCAGTTTGGAGCAACTCCTCATAACTGGCCTCTGATGGGGAAACTCCTGCCTTATTGGCTTGACGAGAAAAGCAACGTAATCCAATTTTTAATCCATTTGTCACAGTCGTACTATTATTGGCATATACGTACACCACACACACACACAGGCTCAGGTGACCCTGATAGGCAACCCAGTGATGTGGTGGGTTGCGTCTGTCGGCATTGTCGTCTTCCTGGCTGTGACCGCCGTCCATCTGCTGAGGAGGAGGAGAGAGATCTTTGATCTACCACACGGTGAGATGGGTGAGCACCCTCTGAGATGTCTCTCTCTCTCTCTACTCTGTGTGGATGCTATACACTACATACCTGTAGAGTTGAATGAGCTGGTCTATGAAACCCCACCCCCACACATGTGCTACATACAGCTGAGTTTCACCAGTGGTGGACAAGTGGCAGTGTTCTGCTGGTGGGCTGGTTGGCCCACTGTCTCCCTTACTTCTCGCGTGTTGTTCCTCCACCACTACCTCCCTGCCGTCCCGTTCAAACTGATGCTCCTAGCTGCCGTCTGCGAACACTTCTACGCTTGGCTCAAGAGGTGTGGGTAATGACACTGTTTTCCTACCAAATTCTACGCACTATTTCGTTACCGCCTACCATGCTTTGCCTGGAACACCACTGTTAAAAAAAGGTGTAGAGTGGAACCATCTGAGCAGGACACCAATCGGAAGGTGTCCACACAATAGTGAAACGCAAGAGGTTAAGTTGCATGCAAGAGCTGCTCTGGGGAAAGAAAGTGGAGAGGTGTCCTCATTTGAGGGGTGTCCTTAGAGAGAAGTAGCCACTTGTCTCCTAGTCTATAGCCCCATTTACACGGACAAAATTGAATCAGTTCGATTTCTACCAACTTATCTCCAATGCTCCAACACACGCCCCATGCACATGCAGGTTCCCCGGACCAATCTCTCTCCTCTACCACCTCCTGGTATCCCTCCTCCTCCTCTCCTTCTTCATCTCCTTCCTCGTCTTCGCCCCGTTCACCTACGGCTACCCGGGGCTCTCTCGCGAACAAATCGAGTGGAGAAAGTGGTATCCTTCCTGGGACCTTCTCCACAGATAATCACTCGCTGAACCCAAACTATTGTTTTCTAAAATGCTTGTCAGCTCTTCTAAAAATCACTCTGGAGTTTCGACAACAAATTTGAGTGTTTTGGCATCCCCACCACTATGATCTGTGTAAATTATAGCTTGTAAAAATTGGCTGTGAAAAATATCCGTAAAATCTCAAATCCTGTCAGCCCACTAGAATACTTGTAAAAAAAACTGGGCATGATATAAAATCTGTTTGAAAAACGAGGCAATTGTGGCCAGAAGCTAAACAGTGAGTGTTGATTCCAAATGGCCCTGTTAGAGTGAAAGCATTGGTCAAGACTTTACATTGTAGCAACAATTGTACCTTCACGGCTGTCCCTACGTTCATGACATCCAGTAGGAAAGTGTCGTGTCCGTAGATGGAGGTTGGCTCGTAGTACGTTGCGTTTCTGTTCCCTACAGGGATTTAACTACATGTATAGTGCATACGAATAATGGAGAGGCATAGGTTTGCGTATCGACCTGATTTTTGAAGTACTTCGCTCATATCCCTCTGTTGCTGGACTGGGAATAACACGTCTGAAGTAATCCCCAGAACCTGCAATGACAAGAGTGAGAAATGGCTTTAGTTAAAGTCCCTGTGTTTCAGTGCAGAGGTTCATACATAGGATACCTGGGGTCAAAATGAAACCAAAAACAGGTGCTTCCTGACCTTTTGAGTTTTGATCTGAGCAGTGTCTTTGGTGTGTGTGTGTGTGTGTGTGCGTGCGTGCATGTGTGATAGATCACCAGGACGGGGCATATGACTCTCTGGACACCTTCCTCCAGAGATGAATAGCCATTACTCATATCAAACAGATCCATAGCCTGCATCCACACACACTCATTATTTGAACATTCATGCATGAACTGCATGATTAATGTGAGTAGCATGTGTTCAGTGAACTAAGTGGCACAAATAGTTGCCAAATAGAACCTTTGTGTGGTGCGTCTTATAGATGGGGTGTATATACCTTTGATATATATAGTAGAGAATTAGGGTCGTATGCTTCGCAGAATTTCTCTCCCTGTGCAATATAAGTTCAGTCAATTTCTAAGTATATATACCGAAGAGGATTAGTTCTCTCGACCTGTCTGAGAAGGTAGTGCTCAATCTCAAAGTCCTGGCAGAAGTCGGGGACGCCGTCGGGATCTCTTCGTTTCTGTCCAAACCTCTGTTCCCACTCTGGCCCACTCCTGTAGGCTATTGTACCCACCTCCCTGCAGAACATAGCATATTATTATACATCTGATGGTGTAAAATCTTTATTCTATCCCCCCCATCATTATAGCATGTGCAACTTTTGATGTGTATGTTAAATATTGCTGCTTATTGGGGGGTAATACTGTTATACCTGGCATAGTAGATAGCACTATGCTGTAAATGCTGCTGCTATTATCATACTTGGCATATTGCCATTATACGTACCTGCCATAATACTCAATACCTGTGTAATGCCACTGTACTACACCTGGTGTATTGCTGCTATACTTACTATACAAGGCATAATGTGTATATACCTGGCATGAGTCATTCCCATCCGAGGGAAGGAGATGTCGTAATAATCTTCCTCGTTCCAGTCGGGATCTCCCATCAATATCTGCCGCTGGACATAGCAGATATCGATATAACCCTAGAGACAATTCCCACAGAGGAAGTGTGTTTCAATTGATCTCCATATTAAAAAATACGTGGCCAATTAGCCACGTTGTGGACGAGGGCAATAGTGCTACCAAGTGCAGCATCCAGAACAATTTGTGAACCTCATGCTCCAAAAGATTAATGGCCATTTAAAATGTAGCTCTGTGGAAAAGATGATGGTTGACCTACCGATTGACTCTGTCAGGGCAGAGTGCGGCAGCCATGATGCTCTGCATGCCCCCCAGAGACGACCCGACAGCGGCGTGGAGACGAGAGATCCCCAGATGGTCCAGGAGCAGGAACTGCGCAGCCACCATGTCCTCTACCGTCACCACAGGGAAACTCATTGCATAGCGTTTACCTGTGCGTGTAAGAACATACTGGTCTATACAGTGAAATCTCGACCCTTTGAATTATGTTCTATCCCACACTAGTCCATTAATCATGACCTCCGAATAAGGGGCACCTCCAGACTTTTGTCATAATATCACCAAGCTGTCACTTATTCAGAGGTTTCACTCTAGTGTGATTGATGGGCTTGTGCCAGAGTTACCAGTGGTGGGGTTGATGGAAGAAGGCCCACTTCATCCGTAGCATCCCCCTATCACGTTCGGATACACCACATAGTAATTGTTGGATGTGTGTGGTTTGATGGTGGAGCCTCCTCCAAAGAAGATGAGGGTTGAAACTAGTGATGATGAGGTGGACACTGAGAAAGGAGAGGAGGAGGAAGGGAAGGCAAAGGTGGTGGAAGAAGTGGAGAATGTAGAAGGAGAGAAGGAGGGAGAGAAGGAAAGTGAGAAGAAGGAAGAGGAAGGAGATGGATCAAAACATGCAGCTGAAAGTCTGGAGAGAAAAGAGAACAAAAGAGGGAGTAAATTGATGGCCTGGCGCCTCTCCTGTTTGGAGATTTCCCTGAGGACTGTGTTGGACTAAAACTGACTGAATATTGGACAACTCTATTGCGCATGCTCATAATAAAACGCGCGCAGGCATATGCACAGCTGACAAAACACCCAACTACAGTAACCCTCGCTGCGCATGCGCGCCGAACTGTAACCCTATATGCGCATGCGCGCCGAACTGTAACCCTTGCTGCGCATGCGCGCCTACGGTTAATTACTCAACCTTGGCTTCACGGCCAACAAGACCACACCTCCTAGACTCTCCGCTCACAAAGCACAAGCGCTCCTGTATGCGGTGGTGGTGGTGTGGAACATGGATAGACACCGCACGATTGGGAGCAGGTCTCGTTCACGTTCTCCTGTTGTAAGAAAGCGTCCGACGAAGAATAGGGACGATGAGGAAGGAAGGTTCGCGTTGAATAATAGATAGCTAGGTTATGCTCCTTTATGTGTAGAGCCAAGCACCGCCGGGAGAGATCATCATCTTCATCACCATCAGAGAGTGATGTAAGACGCAGGAGACACAAGAAAAGGAGTATGCGGACTGGGTTAAGAAGCAAGAGTAGATCTTACTCTCCTGAGAACAGGAAAAAAGGACATTCATGCAAGAGAACAGAAAGGAAGAGGAGGGGTGAGAGGGAATCTAGGTCGGCCTCATTTTCACCCAAAAGGACTGACATGCCACCAAGATCTCGACATGCAGGCGATGGTGGCTCTAGTGAATTCACCAAGGAACAAGAAAAACAACTGCGAGAGGAGAAGAGGTTAATTTCATGTATTAGTAATGTATACATGCGTTTCTAATTGGATATGCAAACCTGTCTGTAATGCACACTGAGAATGCTAAGGGGGGGCTCAGTACTGGGCTGTGCATGAAACATTGGATTACTGTATATACCATGCCCATCTGGAGTAATCGAAGCTCCAACATACATTTTCAGTGTTTGGCAACAGTGTTTGAGTACCCATTTTACCTTATAATTAACCCTCGGCGCGCATGCGCAGCGAGGGTTACAGTAGTTGGTTTGTCTGTCTGTCTGTGTGTCGACGCTTATTCTGGCACTACAGGGCTACGAGACGGCCTATTAGCGATACAA